TATATATATAAAATGCTAGGACTTAATGAAAATATTTATGTTTCATGATTACAAAAGGACAATGAGACTCCTTCCATTGAGGAGAGTGGTGAAGGGTTGAAGAGGTTGAAGAGGAGGAGACAGTAAAAGTTGGTATAACAAATTCAATTATTTTGATCATTTGTTAGGGGTCCTTTTATAACATATTGAGGATCATTTATGCATTGTTTTGTCTTCAAAGTATATTGTACATGTGCTTTTTCTTTCCTTTTTTTAAATTTTGTCTTGATAGAAGTGTATTATTAAGATGATGGGGAGATGAAGAAAATAATAGACTTATAACTTTTAGTGGAAGTAGGGTCAAGAATTTGGATGGTTTTAACATTTATATTCATAAAACTCTAATAACTTTATAGAAATAAAATTTGCCTTAAAAGAATTTGTACTTTTAATGTTGCTTAGTTTTGAATAGGTTGCATTAACCGAACCTAGTCTTCGAAATCCTTAACCGTTAACCAATTACAAGGAAAAGCCATTTTTTATGAAAAAAAAATTAAATTAAGATTAATAATTTAAAATACAAAAATTTGATAAGTCCACGTCAGGCTTGGGCTCAAATCGATTAACAAGAATGTACGTTATTTTGGGTCTGTCTTCTTGCTAATCCATAAACATAATGATTCATACAAATTTTGAAATTTTATATAAAAGAAAATGAAAATCCGTGCATGGTGATTCAGATTCATTCAAAACCTCGCTCTTTGACTTCAACTGGAACACCTTCCACAAGAAAAATTATGACAAAGTGAAGATTCCACCCATCAGGGAAGCAGTTTGCTAGGGAGAAAATGCAAAATTATAGCTTGATATATAAAAACTGAAAATTTCATTTATATCCTTACAAATTTTAAATATTACTTTTATATTCTTATAAAATTATAAACTACATATATGTCCTTATATTACCTTTCCCAAATTAAAGATTAGTATTAAATTAATTTAATTGGGATTAAACCACTGAAAAGCTTTAAAACATTTTTTCTACTCTTCGGAAGTAGTTTTTCTCCATTAATTAGATCATATTTTCACATATCATTTTTTATTCCAACTAATGGGTCGCCAAGATCTTCATATATGCAATCACTTTTTATGATTATCTTCTACATAAATTTATGTCATGGATTGAAAGAGCCAATGTACAAAAAGTGAAAAATATTTACTCTTGTAAATATTTGGACCACAACTTAAGAAAGGCACGACCTATAAACATACACACTAAAAGGTGATGAACTTGTAATGTTCTAGCGTCTTGCTAGCTTTTTAATATATTTTGCAGTTAAACTATAAGGTGAAGAAGGTTGCCCATTTAAGATGGTCATTGGTTCAATTCCAGTTCTTCCAACATATTCCAAATTTACCGCATGCATATAACCCACACCCCTTGCCCCTTCTTTTGAAAAAATCCCCCTTTCGCTCAGATCATCATCACCATACACCAAATTAATCAAGCAATGATCATAGTTCAATTCCAATTCTTCAAACATATTCCAAATTTCCAAAACGTTCCCTTTTCTTTTATGATATATATTAGCAATCAAAGTTTAGATCCCACCTAAAAAGCCACACTAAAAACCCTCGCTCAACTATAGCAAAAGTGTAAGGTTTGTTAGTAATAAATTTTCCGAGGGTATGAAATTTTGAATTTTATAAGTTTTTTAATATTAAATCAATTTAATCCTAATGAAATTATGAGTTTGGATATAAAT